GGTTTGTTTTTGTTGTTTTCTGTTTTTTTTTATTTTGTGTGTATTTTTGTCTACAAAAATTTGTGTTTATTTGCTAATTTTTTTTTGCTCTTTACTCTTTTCTTTATTGTTTTGTTTGTCTTAATGTATTTATTATTATTTTAGTTGTTGTTTTTTTTAGGAGGTTATGTCAGCATTACTCCACCACAGAATGTTTTGAATGTAAAGCGAACAACACAAAAAATACAAAGTTTAAAAATTTCAATATTTTGTTTAATTATTTAGTTATATTTTATTACTTATATTCCTTTTGGTTGTCTTCGAATGAGTAGTAGCGAGGTTTACTTGCTTACATACATACATATATTGCTAATTATTTGAAATGGAAAGGTAATAGCTTTTTGCATACAAACACATGTGTACGTATATATGCATGTACTAAATATATATTTGTATTTGTGCAAGCATGACTAAATGATTGAAACACCTGATATTGAAATTTTTAGTCAGGAAAATAAAAAATCCTAATAAAATGCTGGACCTGTGTTATCATCTCAACTCTTAACGTATTAAATAAGAAATCCGGTAAAGTCCAATTTTATTATACCTTTAATTTGGAGTTTTTGGTTCAACTATGGCTGGCTTAATTAAAGTAAATGTTAATACTAATTTACGCCTCTATAATCTGGTGAACTTCTTTATAGAACAGGTATAATATAATACGAGTTTAACCTACATGTTGCTAGGGTATTAGTGGACCCGAAACATTAGCACAAGAAACAAAATGGTAGGAAATTATGAAACATTAATTCCAAATAAAGAATACATTAGAAGTAAAATCTGTGGAAATCTGCTGCTACACGAATTTTACATGGGGTCGAACTAGAGAATCACATAATCTCGTACCACGAGAACCGGTAGCTTACAAGGCAGTGTTTAGGACTTTGTCTTGTCCCGGTTAAGGGAGAGGTCCCTTCGCGGTGCAAATGGTTGCTGTTGCTTAAAACCAAACTCGCGGAAAGTGTATGTTAGTTAAAAGACTGATACACTCTATAGACTATAATTCGGAGGATCCCCCGAAGCATATTTCCTTGATGAGCGACCCTCATCTTGGTGTATTGCAATCCCAGTTTAAAGAGTTGCTACCAGTACCTCTAGTCTGCCGGGACTATAAACTGGTGATGTCATTTCACTCCTCGGACTTTCCTTGGAATGATTTGACATGATCTCCAACCAGAGAACCACACTAACTGCTACTACGGGTGGCCAGGACTTTTCCTGGCTGATTAGTTGGGACAGCAATAGTCAGAGATTAGATAGCTCACGTACTTGAGCAAAGTGGGTGTATATGGACCGGCAGAACAAAAAATTTCCTCCGGCGTGTAAGAAACATTAAGAGGCGATGGTGAGTCATCTAATAAGTTCACCTTGCAGTTATAAAAGTACCACCGTGAAATAAGTCCAACGTCGAATCCGACTAGACACACAGGACAAGTTGTGCAACTACACCAAACTGGATGTCCAGAATGTGCCGAATGCAAAGCATGTGGTGGAGTAATTGAAACACTTGAACACGTTTGGATGCAAACTCTTTGAAAGCAATGTTGTATCGGAACTAATATTCTTAGGAAAAATTCTACTTTGAGGCGATTTACTCAACAAACATAACATCGTCCTCTTCAGCCTAACCTATCCCTACCTATCTAAACAGCTTTTGATATGTCAAATGCTGCCTGAGCTTTCCTCAAATGCTGAAGAATAGTAACTTTTATCCATAACTAAGGAGGGCAGAGAACAAATCTCAATTGGGTAATAGTTATTTGAGTCCTCTTTTTAGGTATTCCTAGAACAGTTTCTACTTTTCAAAGGATAATATTTCCTTATATCTAGTTCAGGAAATGCTCCACATCCGAATACCCTGATGCCAAAAAACAAAATCTGTAGCCCTCATAAAAATTGTCTAAAAACTCGGATCAATGACACCAAGTGTAGTATTAATAGTGGATTAACTTTTAATTTATTGACAAAATCTTTGTTATCATATACATAACACTTCGATTTATTGGGATGTTAAAATGATTTCCAATATAAAAACTAGTTTTTAATTGTTTAAAGAGGAATACAAGAGAATTCAACTTAAGTAGTTATTATGAAAAGTCAGTTATTAGTTATAATTCTGTTGTTAAAATTTAACTTATTGTTAACTTTGATATATTTATGAGTCTGAACTAACAGTTCTTGAAGAACCTTTCATTAGTGACAACTTTTTTTCAATAACAAATTAACTAACATGTGATATCATACTTAAGTAATCACACAAAAGCCTAATGTTTGCTGGGTGTATTTATGTATATATGTATGTAAATAATATTGTTTGTATTAATGACGATATCGATAACTTGAAAATTTGATAACGAAGCGTTAATAAAGAATTTTTGCATATCTTTACACTTAACTAAAGAATGATAATAAAAAACTATTTACAAATTACTTAACTACACACAGTGGTAAAAAAAATGTTTTATTTTGGAAGCATTTTTAAATAAAAACATTTTTATATTTTACAAAAGATCGATGATACATATGTGATAAGATCAAACTAGTTGATTCGATTTTTTAGTGCAATTTGTTGAATTTTTTGAATAAGATCCAAATATTTCTTTAAATACCTAAATATAATCTTATAAGGATTGAAAAGTCTTTGATACTAGCGTAGCCCATAGAGAATTTGGTATAGTTACAACAAGTCGTTTAGCCCAAAAGCCCTAAATCTAATCGAATAAGGGAAATCGTTGTATTCTGTTCGATATCAATCTTGTTAGGACGTTCGGAGGACTGTTGAATGAGGTATTTAGAGTTATTAACCATTTAAAGACCCTTTAACTGATCAAACATTTAAGTGTAAGACAATATCTTGAGCACCGGTTCTGTAAAAACTGAGGCAAAAACATAAAAGACATAAGTTTTTATAAAATCTAACAAATTTTTAATAAAACTGGTCCAATTTGAACAAAAAAGAATGTGGGACAGACACTTTTGATTTAAGCAACATATTGCTCAAGAATTTCAGGAAGAATTAAAGGTCCGATAACTTTCAAATACATGTACTCTTGATGACTAATTCTCGTAATTCACGTGACTTGCAACGTATTATCAAAATTAAATTCTACTTATTTAATTCTACTATTTTAATTTAGAGGTAAATTAATGTGTTAATAAACCTCTTAGATGTTTTCCCAGATGTACTGAGATACTTGTATTGCCAAATAAAATTTGAAACAGATTGAGAATTTTGATTCATGGCCAATTTAAACATTGAATATTTTGAAAGTGGCAATTAGCCATGATGTAAAGGCGAAATTGTCATAGAAAGGGTCGAAATTTTAATTATGTTTCAAATTAGATTAGTCAATAGATATTGCTATAAACAATGGAATGGTTCCATTCTGGATAATAGAATGGATCGGTTCTAGTTAGTTCTAGCACTTTCTGGATGAGTTCAATTCATATACACTTGGATCGTTGTGTGCTTCTTTTAATGTGAAATGTTGGTAGATAAACCATATAAAAGAAATAATGTTCAAGAACTCAGATTCTTGGACTTTAGTTAGTTAGTTTCTAAAGTTCCATTTATGGGGAGTAAATACTATCTTTAATTGCGGAGTGATGTAGTGCCCACCCAATAGTACGAAAATCATGATCATTTCCACGTCTAACCACCTAGTTGACTCTAATTCGTGACCAATGTACTCTTTGTAAACGAGAGTGAAGATAGTCGCCTTTTTAGTGTATTTTGTATTCTAGTGCAGAGACAGTCATCACTTTGCTATTCCCAAGTAATCCAGGTTCGACACTTAAGCGAAAAGATTCATTACCATTTACTGACTCTTAGCTTTCTGACTGCCTCTTTGAATATATGAAGTAACGATTGACTTCTTCCTAAAACAAGCACATCTTAATACAGCTAGTAATCTAGGTAGTCGGATGGTCTGTGTGTTGTAACCATGAGTGTTAAATAGCCAGTTCGGTACTTAATGGTTCTCTTAGCGTCCCATACAATCTAAAATTTAACCTGATATCGTATTATTTGCCTTCTGGGTGTTGGAAAGTATGTTTGATTTGTGTTCTAGATGCTAGTATTTTGATTAGGAAGACAGTGGTATTTCTTGGTTTCCGGGTTTTCAATGTAGATTTCCAAACGCAAACAGATTCCAACAAAGGGTTTGCTTGATTGATAAATATGTAGCTTCTGCTTTACACCAATGTCTCACTGTTCCTATACAGTTTCAGTTTCGGTGTGCGATCCGGCACTTCTGGAGGTTCAAGTATAACCGTCTAAATTGTCCTCTAACCGACTTTGCTATTTAAATTTAAGTAGTTTCCGATCATGGGTTACGCATATGCAGGTAATTAACTCTGTCGGTCACTGATATCGTCCTGCCTAATATACGTTAATATACATTTTCACTTTCTGTGTACGATCGGGCACTTCTGGAGGTTCATGTATAACCGTCAAATATGTCCTGTAACTTGCTTTGCTCAATTGGCCTAAAGATTTTTGAGAATCGGCTGTAAGTGCTATCTCATATCTTACTTGCGTTTCGATTAGGTCTAGGGTTTTCCCACATAACGCTTAACACCGATTTACTTTGTTGGTCCCGTTGTTGATGTGAATTTGTAAACTTGTTTTCTATATCCCAGATAACGAAGTCCTGTGTAAGAACTTTTAGGAAGTGGTAAAATTGCATTATGACCCCTCTGACCTATTCTGATATAAAACAAAGAAACTAATTCCTGTATAGATTAAAAATGCTAACGTAACGTAATGTTATATGTCTAATGTCCAAAGCTATAAAGAAATCTTGTTAATATATTTCAAATAAAAGTAAAATGAAACAATTGAAGGTCTACGTAACTTAGCTAATTAAAATGTTTAAATACTTTAAAAAAAGCTAAATAACGTTATCAGATTATTAACAGATACGTATGAGTACTGCTGGAGTGTAAATAGTAGAGCTTAC